GGCAGCCTTCCCGCTGGTTGGCACCATCTCTCAGGGGAGGAGCTGGAGGAGTTTTTCTCAGCTACGTTGCTGGACCACTTTGCATAGGTCAGTATGGAACAGATCCTGCTGAGCTGAACTGCTGAGTCTGGGTGACAGTTGTGAGGGACATTTTTATGTTACTTACTTATGTCATAATTTTAAATATTTTTGTTGTTCGTGACCTCAAGGAAGTATGAACCTGAAAGAATTCATTTACTGTTAACAAAAACAAAGTCATTTGTGATCTCCTCAAATAACCTGTGTGAGAGCACTGGAATGAACCTTTATTTGATGTCTGGGAAGTAATATCCCAGTGGAACCCATTTTATTTGGGGTTTGCTTTTAATATGGGGCTGTTAATATAGCATTTCCAATAAGTGGCCTTACATGTGAAATCTGTGTTTAATTACTAATGTTTTAGCAAGACTAGTGGAACTGTACTGTTCATTATAAATCATAGATTTAGGAACTTGTCAGGAAAATGCTTTATGATTTAACTTATGCCTGGGAATCTAAGTAGGACAGGTAGGTCTGGAGTTGTTATGAGGCTGTGAACACGCCCCTACAATATCCTTGGCTTTTAGAAAATCCTATTATATAATGAATAAACAATATCTTTTTGTGAATTTTTCATCCAAAATATTTCCTAGACTATATATAAGAGATCTTTAAACCTGATAGTTTTAAGCAACAATACCCAGAGCATATTACTTCTTTGAGTATGTTTTCATAGGTTCCCCTTAAGTGTTCCCCTTAAGTGCTTTTCTTTTTCCTTTAAAACAGAAGAGTTTATATTAAACGTTCATTTCACACATTTATTGTGTAACATTAGAAAACAGAGATGAGCAAAAACAGCGCTGGCGTGTAAGCCTTTTTGGGTGCTGGCATTGGACCCAGGACCTTCATACTGAGCTACATCCTTCAGCACACCCCTTTTAACTTTTAATTTCAAGACAGAGTCTCACTAAGTACTGAATTTTCCAAGCTGGACTCAAATGTGTGATCCTCCTGCCTCACCTTTCCAGAGTTTGGGAATGCAGGACTTGTCTGGGGCTAGGCCAAAAGGGGTTGTGTGTAGACTCCATCAGGCATGGTCCCTAAGGCCAGTACTACTTCCTGTGAGCTGGGGACTGCCGTGTCCCCCAAGGATGTGGAGAGAGCACAGATTGGTGCTGACATGCAGGGCTCCCCAGGCTTGCCACCTGCTGCCTTCCGTGGGACCCAAGCCTTCAGGTCTGTGCTGTGGGACCCAGACAGGTGCATAGAGTGACCCAATATTGTTCTTCAGACACATAAGAAGTTCAGAAAGTAATGTTAACATGGAATTTATATCATTACTTAAGACAGCTCAAAGAAAGAATTAAAAAGGGGGAATTAGAAACTGTGGTGCTCAATGGGAAAACACAGAAGCTGTCTCTTCTGGGTACCATGAGGTCAAAGATAGAGCCAGTATCAGTGAGTTTTATGTCACTGTCACTAGATCTCAGGGCTGGGCTGGCCACAGTCGGACTACTGCATTCCTTTTCTCCCGGGAGACTCACTACCACCATTGTAGGCTCACAACACAGACTCCACCCTCTCTGATCCCCTTCCTCCTGGTGGCTCATTTCTTCCCTCCCAGACCCCAGCATTTGACGATATGTTTAGAATTGTTTCATATTTTTATTTTACTATTAAACTGTGTTCACAGGTTCCAAGTCTGATTATTTGGCTGCTTACTTGGCATTATGTTCTGCTTACTATTTTACAAAAGCAGAAATATGCACTCATGGTATTCTAGAGGTTAAGCAACAATGTCCAGCAGGTTGATCAGTGACTTGGGTGGACACATAGGAGCTGCAGAGCTCAGTCAGGGCTCAGCTGCGCTTGGCAGGCTGGGCCAAAACCAACAAGCGGGAGGGAGTTCAGTGGTGACTGATGTTAAGTCTTGATTTAGTGCAAGTGGAAGGGAGCCTGCTCCCCATCATGGTTTGGGAGAGAGCACTATCTTGAAGAGGAACACTTGCTGAATTTGTTGAGACATTCACCAACTACATTTACTGAGGTGCTGTATGATTTTCATGTATAGTTTTATTTAAATCCTGTTTGGGTAATGATCAGCTTTAGGGAGAAGGACTTTAAAATGTTAAGAAACTTACCCAGATTCAAACTGCTTTTAACCATTAAGCAATATTGCCTCCATGGCAAGTTCCAGTCCGTGGTGTGGCTGAAAATGGAGGGGCAGAGAAGGGTCGGGTAGACAGAGGGTGGAGGGGAGGCAGGAACCTAGATGTCATCAGAAGAAGCATGGCCACAGGGACAGTGTGTGGTATGTGGTCTTCTGGACAGACAGGTTGTATGCTGGACACTACTTTTTAAGATTAGAAAGTTTCAGACTCAGCTGTGTGTAGAGATTGAACACATGGGGTATCAGGTGCTAGGGAGTAAAAGGTGCCATGGAGATACAGCTAGATTTTGCAGGCCTTGGGGAAGCTTGAAGGGAGCTTTTCTGGAGGAGCAGTCCATGGCTGCAGGGCTGGATCAGCTCCTGCCTTCTCCTAAGCAAAGGCACAAACACGCGTTTTCAGACCTGGTCCTGGAGCACTGCTTTCTCCTCAGTGGAGTCGTCTTGGAATGAGTATTATCATCATGCTGCTAGTATCTCAGGGAAGACAGCAGACCTGGGCTGAAACCCAGGATAGTATTACTACTAAGTGCATAAAGAATATGGGTGAAGGGTAGCAGGACTGGCTGGTGGGAAATAGCATTTGATTTTCCAATTAAAATCCAAGAATTTGAGTGGCCAAGGAGAGGAGAAAACTTGAGGATTTCTTTCAAGATTCCATTTTACCTCTTTTTTCTTAGAAAGAATATATGTTACTGGCCCAATTAGAGAAACCAAATGCTTGCATTTTATAACATGCTGATTTTAATTATTTTAGAATCAAGTCTTTTTTGTAACTAAAGGTGGAGAAGTTATGGAAAGAAACCTGATTCTAACTATACATGAACACGTGGGATGGTGGGAATAAAAACAAATTAAAGCAATATTGCAAAGAACTCTCAATTTCCATTTAAAAATATATATGATGATGTTTTTCACCTTTTCACATTCAGCCTATCAGCATATCGAGTGACAAAATGAAAAATCAATTTCAGCTGTGTGTATTTTAAACCTTTACTTAATGATTTGGACTTACCCAACCTAAACATCCAGATGAACATATTAAACTGCTTATTGTACTTTTTATGAATTAAAACTTTATGGTTTGTATTATGTTAGGGTAGGACATAGTTATGTTTGGTGACATTTAAGGGTAGAAAATTGAACCGAACAGTGGTCTAATTAGAACAGTAAATAGTATGGATTTAATTAGCCCCCGTTCCTGATGACAGATTTGATCAGTCGCCAGATATTTACCCTTTCCTTTCACTTGACGGTTACTGAAATATTGCCTCTACCAGGGCTTCATACTGTGCTATGCTATAAATAGGTAGCTTGGCAGGAAGCCATTGGACCTGCTGACCATCGAGATTTGAGTGAAAATGATTGGAAAACCACCTCTTTGCTTCCCGTTATTATTTCTTCATTTTAGCTTTGAAGGACCTTTCTACAGATCTCTCTAATTTAATTCTTTTTTTCTTTTTTGGATGGATGAGGTAATTTGTCTACAAGCTTCGAGAAACCTGTCTGGTTCCATCTCAGGCTGCAGCTTATTACACATCATGGCTTCCTTCATAAACTTTTCCATTCTCCAACCAAGAACGTAGTGACTTGAACTTTCCTATACGGCAGTAGAATGCAGTATTTGTTTACTTGTTGGCTGGTTTCAATGAAGGTAGTGTGTATTTAATTTTCTTGAAGATTCCACAAAATGCAGAGAAGCAAAACCAAAATGAAATATTAAAATCACTGCGAGCTCTTTCACCTGGAGGTAATCACTATGAGACTTTAATTCTCCTTTCTTCCTACATATACATATTTACATGACCTGTATTAAAAATTATATAGGCTTGTGTGTGTTGTTGCTTAATGGTTGCATTTTATCATAAAAAATTTTTTTGTAAAGGAATTCCAAGACCCGTGGAAGTTGATAAGGTAACGAGACAAAGTCATGATCGCGTAACTTGGCTTCATGGAATTCACTATTAGGTCATATTTACTTCTAACCTTTTCATAGGGTTGGGAGAGACACAAAAGTCAAGGTTCTTTTTGTCTTTCCCCAACAGTGTTTGCTGTAGTCCTGCCTCTTCTGTTCTCAGAGGTGATTGGATTGGGTCTTTTTTGCCCATATACGTGTCCGTTTACTACTACATTTTTGTGTGCACACATCTGTAGATTTCTATCTAGCTCTATGTGTAAATGAAAAGACAGAAAAAGCTTTTTGTGTTTTTGGGTATCAAACCTTCCAGTCTTTTCCTTCACAGTTTCTACCCTTTTTGACATATCTAGGGCAGTCTTTCTGGTACTAACTCTATATTAGTGATAATCTATAATTTTCTAGCATTTTATGGCTCCAGTATTTCAATATAAATTTCTAATAAATCTGGAATGACTTTTGAGTTGTTTTGTGAAGTTAGCAATGATTTTGTAGGGTCTATTTCTGGATTCTCATGAAAATATATTAAATCTGATTACTTATTGCTATTTTTTACTGTTTTAATTGAGAAAAATGCCCTTTTATTTGCCTTCCCTTACTTTCTGAATTGATTTTTAAAAAGTGCATGATGTGAGATCTAACAGCAAATTCTGAAGTCATAGCACAGTATTATTAACTGTGAGAATGACATGTTATAGCAGATCTTTGCAACTCTTTCTCTTTGCATGGCTGAGTGTGGATACCTAGTTGATAACTCCTACAGCAGGCCCTGGCTGTCACCATTCTGCTTTCCGCTCTAATGAGCTGGATGACTTTAGATATCTCCTGCAAGTGTGACTTTGCAGTATATATTCTATGACTTGCTGTGTTTTGATGTTTTTTCTTTCCCTTCACATCTAGACCTCAAGAAATGCTCGCTCAGAGGAGGACAGAGATGGCAACTGGGATGCCTGGGGTGACTGGAGTGACTGCTCCCGGACCTGCGGGGGAGGTGCCTCCTATTCTCTGCGGAGATGCCTGACCGGAAGGTCAGTGGTGGCCAGGCCAGCTGCTGTGGGAGTTAGTGCTTCTGGATGGGAAAGAGGAGCACCTGGAAAACTTGACTTTGCCTTGCAGATATACTCTTATGGCACCTGCTGTGTCTAAACATTAGCTTCAAGTTACCATATTTAGATGATAATGGTTATGTTTTCAAAGGTGGGACCATGTGTCACCTGCCTGAGCCTCACAGGACTCAAAACACCAAACATTGGCTTTAAGGAAGGCAGCCTAGCATATTAAGTCTCTGGCTCAATGTTGTCAGGATTTGGGGCAAGATGTCTCCTTTTCTGAGTGTTACTTTTCAGTGACTATTTTAATTCATTTCTCATTCACTTTCTCTGAATGATTAACTCAGAAGGTAATCCACATTCTGTTTTCATACCTTAAATGAGTTTGTGGTAAATGATGTTTGCTAAAATGAATCTTACAAATATAAACTTACTTTATGAGGTTCATAATTTGTAAGAAGCCTGTACTTGCTGTTTTTTATTCATGGGACAATTTAAATCTGAGCCAAGGTTTCTGCCTCATTTCTTGGGTAAGGGAGGGCCCTGACATCCTGGTCCCAGGCAACAGACCCTGGCAGCCATCTTTACATGTGGAGTATTTTCAGGTGAAAGAGCACATTATTGATGCTTGTTCTCCATTTATAGAGCGGAAATGCCCGGAGAGTATATTTGTCCTCTATAATTAGCTCATCTTCCATCAAGGTTGCTTTTTGTGGTGCATTAACAATGACCAAGTACGTCCCACAGTTTCCTTGAGGCAGTGCAGAGCCGGACAGTTGACCCACTCTCCAGGGGGACTTTGAGCCGGAGGTCTCTTTTGTCTACTGAAGAAGGCAGTGGTAGGGGCCTCATCCCAGGGCAAGCTTCAGGAAGTGGCTACAGCAGTGAGTCCAGGGTTAGCCTCAGGAGGCAGGGGGATGTGGTAGAGGCTATTTTAAATGTAAAGGAAATTTTAAATCTTATGTTTCTAATACTAGTATATTTCTAGCCCTGTTCAAGGAGAAGACTGGGAAGCACAGCCCCTTCCCATAACTAGGAAGCTGTAAAACTTAACGAGCCTTGATCTGGCAGGTGCCAGCTGCAAGATAGTGTAGCTCTGCCAGGCAGAGATGTTTTGCTTGCCCTCAAGTCCCAGAGACTTATCACTTCTGGGACAACTCTTTCCAGTCTTGGACAATGATAGATTCTTCCTGCATGTTATAAGATAGTAACCCCAAAAGTAGCTTATGTAGAGTAAATCTTATCTAGCAATATATAACAAAGACATGTGTAACAAACTGGAGAATATTATCTGTACTTCCTTTTGGAAACCTATGTAAGTGACTGTTAACAACCTTAAGTCAGGGCTGGTGATTTGGAACTGAGAGTCCCATCAGGCTGCTAGCATAGTAAACCTGTATGCCTTCCTGTGGCACCATTGTCTTCCATTTGGTCTGGTCCTGAATTCTGCAGCAGTGGAAGCCCTTTTCCCTTTTTTCTGTGAGGCAGTAATAGGTGGGCTCCCAGGGCACCTTTACCAATGGACACTCACAAGCCTTTGATGCAGGTCTTTAGCCCTAAACCCTCTGTACACCCTCGGTGCAGATGAAGAGTTAACACTCTCAAATTCAACTAACACATGTCCTAGCCACATGCTTTTGTAAGTCATCTTTTCCATTGCTAAAACATGAGGACTTGATACAACTTAAAGGAGGAGGGGTTTAATATGGCTCACAGTTTTAGAATATTCAGACCATGGTCAGCAGGCTCCAAGGCAGAAACATCAGGGCTTAGAAGGGTGTGGTAGAGCAGAGCTGCTCAGTTCATAGTGGCCAGGAACCAAAGTAAAGGAACAGTTCCAGAGAGGAAGGGATGAGAGACCAGACATAGACCCTAAGGCATGGGCCTTCCTGACCACCCAAACACATGCAGCAATGTGCTCTGTCCGTCCCCCTCCCCCAAACTCAAAGCCAGTGGAGTAGCTGCTCCAGTGCTTCTCACAGTCTGAGGAGACAAACAACAAGCAAACATTAGGTTACATATAACCAAAAATTGTCAAGAGGATGGATAAATTGGTCATGTTAGTCCTCTCCTCTGGGGCATGTTTACCCTGAGAATTTGTTTACTACTGGGAGAAAGTCAGCCATGTGAAAGGAAGTGCTATGAGAAAAAAACAGATGGTGGAACAAACAGATGCTGGGTTCCTGGGGAAGGACATGGGAGGAGGCTTTTAAACCTGGAGGGAAGCATGGAAGAAGAAAGCAAAACATATTGAAGAAGAATGCAGATTTGTAGGCAAAAGTACCAAGTCTAATTCAGAAAAAAATCATCATTTTAATTTTTACATCGATAATTCCATTTATTTATTTATTGGATTCCTTGTCCTGAAGAGTTCCAAAATTCCTTGAACTGATGCCCTGCAGTAATGAGCTCAGGAAGCATGCTGGTGTCTCACTTCCTGTCTTCCAGGAAAGTCATTTGCCTCCTTCCTGTGCCCCATCTCCTCTTTCCTCGTGTCCTTTTCTTGATTACCTTCTGACTTTTATGGAACACATTCTCCAATAGCTTCCCAGGTATTTGAAAGTATTTTTATTTTCTCCTTAAACTTCAATGATGATTTTTCCAAGTGTGCTATTATGTAGAATTAATTGTCCCTGAGAATTATGGAGACACCACTGATCAGCATCTAATATAAAGTAGTGTTTATGAAGAAATCAGAATCATTCTGGTTTTTCCTTTTTCTTTCTCTCTATAAGAGCATTCATCTGTATTTTGATTGGAATTGCATTAAATCTGCATAACAATTTTGGGAGTATGGCCATTTCTACTATATTGATTTTTCCTACCCAAGAACAAAGGATATCTTTACATTTTCTGATATCTCTTTTAATCTTCTTTTTCAGAGTACTGTAGTTTTCAGTGTAAAGATTTCTCATTTGCTTTGTTAGATGGATTCCTAGGTATTTCATTGTTTTGGACTCTCACTCCAGAAAGAATGGTTAATATCAAGAATTCAACCAAGAGCAAATGTGGGGCTACAGGGAAAGAGGGTACCTTCTTCACTGTTGGTGGAAATGTACTCTTTTAACCATTATAGAACTCAGTGTGGAGATTCCTCAGAAAACTAAAACTAAAGGTTCCATTTGACCCAGCTCTTCTCCTTCTTGGTATTTTCTGGAAAGAATTAAAGGCATCATACCATAGTGATGCATAAATGTCCACATTTATAGACACACAGTTTGTAATAGCCAGATCTTAGCAACAGCCCAAATGCCCATCAACCAATGAATAGATAAAGAAAATGTAGGGTTTTTTTTTCCTACAATGGAATAATACTCTGCCATAAAGAAAGGAAACTTGAGATGTTTCAGGTAAATGAATGTACTTTGTGACATAATCTTAGTGAAATAAATGAGATATGGTACTGTTAGAAGCAATAGGGTAAATAAGAACCAAAATGTATAACAGATATTGAGAAATAAGAAGAAAATGTTCAAATGGGAATGGGAACAAGGGAGGGGTGAAGGGAAAAGGAAAGAAAAGAAAAAGAGAATAAGAATAGGAGAGAAGATGGAAACAAAGCTTTTGCAAATAAAGACGGGAACAGGGGGTTGACCGGGGGGAGTGGGGAAGAAAAAGCAGCAAGACATACAGGTACAAACTCCCTATGACAATTTTTATCAAGTGTATCTAAAATGTACCAAGAAGATTAACTTTTTAAAAGAGTATTCATCTGGCTTGAATGTTCTGAAATTTCGTGCTGCCCTTTCTTGGTGTGAGTCTATGTTCATCCATTGTATTGGATGGGCTCATCTATTATGAAGATTTGTTGCCTTGAGTCTTGAATTATTTATTGCATAATTTGTTTTTTATTTTCCTCTTTTGTTGTCAAAACTCCTACCATTCAGATATTAGATCTAGTTTTCTGTTTGTTTACTTGTCCTGCTTTATGAGAGATTTACCTAAACTTATTTTCCAAATATTTTACTAAATATTTTCTACATAGAATTTCTTACTTTCTCTATAGTTTTTTCTGAGATTTTTTTCCCATGAATTTTTAAAAGCAGCATTTATTCTCTGATTCCCTGAGGATATGAGTAGATTTCTGGGAGGAAGATGCTTTTATTTTTCTCAATTCTGTCCAAATTGTTTTTGTTTAGTCATTTATCAGTGTTTTGCTTTGGAACCTTCTCTAAGCTTTCTGATGACATTTGTATTTAAAGAAAGGAGTTTTGACCTTAACTGCAGAGGCCCGTGCTAGTCTATCTCTTTGTTTGATGTTGTCTCTGGGTGTTGGAGTTCTGACTACTGTGATTTCTCAGAAAAGATTCTTCTGGTTCAAACATCCAAGAACCGAGTAGAGCAGAAAGCTGGAGTCTCAGGACAGACACATCGATTTGGACTTAATCCTTGCTTCGTGCACAGCACTTTTGTCCTTCATCGTACCCAGTTATCTCTCAGTGCACAGGCTTCTGTTTATACTTTGGTGATAACAATATACAATTTTATGTTGAAATAAGGAAGAGGAGCCATTTGCTCTGTTTTTGATCCCAGCTTTATCCCACTGTCAGAAGAGTCTGATGATGTACCATTTCTGGAGCTTTTGGTGAGTTCTGGAGGAAACTGAGTTGCTGGTAGTAACCCCCCATTGCTGTCTGAGGGCTTACCTTTTACTTCTTAGTCTGTGAAGTATAAATTCATACCTAATTGAAATATATGATTCAAATAATCTCATAACTTTTTCAAAATTGAATTTGTAACTAAAATTTCTGTTTTCCTAAATGGTGTCCGGGCCCAGATGGTTTTACTGGAAAATTACATCAAATATTTATAGAAGAATTTACAAAAATTCTATATGATTTCTTCAGGGGGAAGAATTCCAAATTAATTTTATGAATCTAGTGTGATTATAATTCCAAAGCCAGAGAAAGACTAAACAAAAACAAAACTACAGACCTAAGTATCTTGTGAATATAGAAATAAATATTAAGAAAATGGTG